AAAGTTTACTGGGTGACTTTTGAGCCAGCAGCTATGATTCATCCCAACCTACCTCTGAAGGCCATTGTGAGAATAAAAGGGGGTGGAGTGTAATCATGCATCCCAGCTTGAACTATTTGGAAGAATTGCAAGACTAAATGGTAATAAGCAGTAAAACTACTGTCAAGAGGATAGTTATACAGACCAATGTTCTTATGGATTAGCAGCATCTAACTGTCCCTCTCTACATTTTCAGGAAGTGATGGAATGTGTAACAAGAGTGAGAGAAATTATTTTATTCCAATGAAAGCTGCCACTATAGGGATCAAAATATCAGGAACCTTCTCAGCAGTGATCTCGGAACTTTGAGGGACTTGTTAATGGAGCCCTATCCTAGGATCAGGGAAGCAGTAAGACACCCACAGCTATTTTGTGTTTGAGTAGCAAAACAACAGTATTAGGCAGGAGAAGAGGAAAGGAATCACATAGGGGCTACAGAGGCATTTAAGGAGTAAAAAACCTAGGTGCCTATTATTAGTAGTTACATTACCCAGTTAACTCACAGGTAAATGTCTCCTAGCACCCATACAGTAGAGATGTATTTGATCTCAGTCTCTGAGCTGCATTGCTGTCTATAATTAGCACCGTGATTTGACATAAAAGTCAATATAAAAATATTGGAACAGCAACCTCCATCTGAATTTAAAAAAGCAGTATTGTGGAAAGCTGTTAGCTAAATGCATCACTATGCTCAGCAATACTGCACAATTAACAGATTCAGCTCTCCAAACTTCCATTAAAAGCAATTATTATTCATTTATCAAGAGCAAGAAAGCCCCACTTCACAACACGAGTTAAAATGCAATTAGGTGCAGTAGGGCAGAACAAATTTCTCAGCACAGAACGGGTTACAACAGCACACCCAAGCTTCATGAGGCTTGCTAGTCAGGCTCATCATTCTCTTAGGACATAATAATGCCACTAAATATGCTGGATCATTAGCAAAATTACATAGCCAAAGAAGGGCAATATTAATAGAGCTCTGTAACATTTTATAGGAACAGCAACTTGTTAAACATCACTAGGAAATAATTGTATTACAGTCAGATGCATGAACTCATTATGTTTTTAACAATAGAAGCTGGGCAAGCTATTCACTTTGGAGAATTCTTTGCATTATGCTTCCTATCACGGGCTCGGGGTTCATGGATGTGGGGAACCAGCCTCCCTCCCCCCTGGATTTCTTTTACAGCAACACCATAGAAATGGATGCAGAATTCTTTGGCAGGCTGGGGTTAACGGCAGCATTGTCTTCCATCTCATGACTGTACACAGATGCTGAATTTACACTTCTGAAATACTTCTCATTTTATACCCAAACCTGTGCATAAAAATGGAATCAGAGAAGATGCCACCCAGTGACACGCAGCGATTCATATTTCTAAAAGAGATGACACCGTTAGGACTGGATATACCTTTCAAAAGCCTTAACACCTCGGACCCACATTTGGATCTCTTTCCCTTGAATTCAAGTTGCATGGCACAGCTGAAATGTGAGTCAGTGCTTAGAGGAGCAGGTGTTGGAACAGAAGATCATAGTGGCTTGTGAGCTGGTGATCTAAATATAGAACATCAGGCAAGAATTTAGCTCAATACAGTCACATGCTGCTTGTAGGCTTCCCATAGACATTGGGTTGGCCATTGTGAGAACAGGATGCAAGATAGTTGGGCTGTATGCCACCAACTCAGCTCTGGCCAGGGGACTGCAAGGAGACCAGCCCCACCAGTGAAGTAAACCTCCTTGCACCAAAAGGCCAGAGTGGTTCAATCCACATGAGCCCTATACATTAAGCTTCTGGGTTGGGTGTGAGGAGATATGAAACTTGTTCCTGTTGTGTAGAAATCACTTTTGTTTGCCTTTATTTCAACTTCAGCAGCTTGAGACCAGGATGTGCAAATAACTGTCTCATTGATCTGGTCTGCATGTACAGTTGTACCTTGGATTCCGAATGCCTTGTGACTCAAACGTTTTGGCTCCCAAACGCTGCAAACCCAAAAGTGAGTGTTCTGGTTTGTGAACGTTTTTTGGAAGCCGAACATCCGACGTGGCTGACGTGGCTTCAGATTGAGTGCAGGAAGCTCCTGCAGCCAATTGGAAGCCACGCTTTGGTTTCTGAACGTTTTCAGAAGTTGAATGAACTTCCAGTTCCATTTGAGAACCAAGGCACGACTGTAATCCTAAATTAAGGCTTAGCATTATGTGCTCAAGCCTTGAGCTTGTGCATTCCCTCTGCCCTTCCAACATGACCACAAGCAGGAGCTAGGCAGTTTTCAGTAACCATTGTTCATTATATCATAGACAAACCAGAAACGATGGTTATTCTTAACTATGGTTGGAAAGGGGCGGTATAAATTTACTACACTAAATAAATTACACATAGGCTGACAACTGGGTAAATGTGAGTGCAATTAAAGCTGAAATTCCCCTGTTCAGTTTGATGGGGCACAGAAGTTAGGGCAAGTGAATCAGATCATGCTTTTTTAAGATCATCCTTCAGTACTGTCTTAATGTTATTCACAAAGTTCTGAGAGGAAAGGAGCATCTTTGCAGACAAGCAACACTTGAAATGCAAAGAGAAGAGTAACTATTGCTGTAAAACAGTTTATTGACCTATCAATCCTTATGTTCTTTTCAAGATTGAGAACTGCTTACCTTGGGAGAGAAAGGTGAGTGTTAGCTCTTGTGAGCACTCTGCTATTTTATATTAAATTTCCAAAACAGCCCTATTAATATCTATACTCTGCCAGAAAACAATTAGATTAATATTTAAACCCTTTGAGAAAACAATCAGATAGGGATCAAGCAGGTTATTTGACAAGAGACCGCTGGGTTCCAATCCTCACTATTGCAACAATTTCTCTAGATTAGGAAAGCATTTCCCCAGAGTGTACCACAGATTGAATAAAATGTGTATTGAAAATGTAATGAAAGAAACATGATTAAAAAGCACAACAACTTGCTGATAATTATTTCATCATGCCAGAAGAAATGAAGCTATTTTAAAGATACAATTAAAGAGATCAGTAATATAAGGCAATCAAACTCAGCTAATGTACAATGCCAGCCTATTCTAGGGCAAACCCACTGAGCAACAATTCCAAATTGCATGGATTAGAACTTTAAAACTTTCCACTTAACTTATGGAAGGAGGTGTGCAAAACAAATATATTGCATAAATGCATATATATATTGCGGGATGGGGGGGGAGGCAATGCTAAGATAGGAAACCTGAAAGTGTAAGAGGGATAGTAAGGGGGGAAGTACCATAGATCTCTGTGTTTTGCATGCAGGAGGTACCCACACCTTCAGAAAAAGAGTATCTCATCTGGGACAGCTATGGGTTGATGGGCAGAATAATCCTAAAGAGGGACCGGGAGGGCAAGGAGTCTTCCACTTTATTCAGAGCCCTGCTGGTTTATGCTGGCCAGGACAGAAGATGGGAGCCACCTTTCTTCCCAATATGTGTCATGCCAGCTCCAGTCTGACATAGCTGAGTGTGGAATCCGCAAGGCTGCTCCAAAATGCCCTGTTTCAGCATTTTCTGCAGGCTAGACCCAGCTGGAGAACCAAAAGCTTACCACCCACTTTGGCGGAGCTGAGGCCTTGGCAATATAGGACAGCATTGTATGTTCATATGTCAGTTGCAAGGGAACAGAAAGCAGGAAGCTGTGGCTATGGTGATTAAGAGGAGATGGTGACATCACTGAGCGTTATGTCAGATAATGAAGCTCACATCAGATCACACCTCTGCTTCCATCAATAGAGAAACTGCAATGCACCCAAATGAAAGAAGAGGGAGGAAGGACTGGACTCTGTTGCTGAAGAAGAGTGCTATAATCTAAGGCCATGATGCATGGTGACAGCAGCATGGGCATGGCACGGAGGTGTGTTTAGGGCAGTGTGGCTGGTTCCTCCACACAGGGCACCATATTACTAAGGTCTGCCCCTGAAGGAAGCATAACAAGTTCTATCAAGCTACGGTTCTCTGTTTTGGGTCCCCAGGGGAAAGGAGAGGGTTTTCTACATGTGGTGGCATGTTAAGAATTCTGCATATGAATCTGTTCATTTACGATCAGTTCTTTTAAGCAAGATCAAAGCTTGCTTAAAAGATGTTTCAAATTATCATAGTGATGGGAGAGATAAAAAAGGCCACAGAGTCCAGGCTCCTTTCCAAAGGACAGCTGGGATGTTCACAAATCTTATGCACAATGCAGAGGTTACCCATTCCTGCTTTAGAGAGACTCTCCCTACACGAGCAACTTTGCTGTGTTTTCCTGTCACTGGATCCAGCCATTTTTGGATGGCAGGCGGCCTTCGTTCAGTGATATTATGATATTCAATGAGCAGGTCCGAAACAGCTTAGTGAAGGCGGACAGAATTGGTAATGAGGGCTAGGATTTCAGCCTAGGTTTGCCAGATCTCTATATGAGCTAACAATCTGGGAGATTGTGTTTAAATGGGTCTTTCAACATTTAATGACATAGTTTGCTGAATAGCCGCAAAACCTTCAGACTCTCTTCAGGATTTTAAGATTTATTGCAAAATGCAGCTTTCCTTGCAGTCTTTGGTATAAGAGAGATTTTATTATGAGAACAGTTTGCAATGTGTAATTCCAATTCACTTCCACTAGACCTCTTTGTCTTCTCCATCACTGCTCATTTGGGGGGGGAGTTTGATTAATCTTCTCCTGTTGGTATTTATATTCATCTAGAACATAGTTGCCAGAAATGATCAGGATCATTCTGAAGGTTTCAAATTTGTGATGTTTGTTGTACCCGCCCTCTTAGCCTTCCACACCAATGATTCACCCCTGTGACGCTTGATCACAGCACTTGATTGGAAGACCTTGTCTAACAGCAAGTGGACAGTAACATTGGCAAGATCACAGAATCATAGAATTGTAGAGTCGGAAGGGGTCCCAAAGCTCATCTAGTCCAACCACCTGCAATGTAGGAGTCTTTGCCCAACATGGGGCTTGAACCCATGACCCTGATATTAAGAGTCTCATGCTCTATCTACTGAATTGTCCCTGCCATAGAAATTGGAATTGATCCTTCCTTCACCAAACTCCCAGTTGGATGACAATGCAGTAGAGGATCTGTCTACTGGTCTAATTTAATACCAGTATGCATGCCCTACTAATTTTTATACACATTTTATGGTTGGAGAAGTGCATCACAAAATTCAGCAAAATGTGAATTTAGAAGGCTAATCGTGTTTTGATTTGCATATTGGTTTGAAAATTGCAGATTAGGTGTTAAAATGCAAAGGCAGTTTAAATTCTCTCCCCAATAGGAGTGGGGGCAAGGCAAAATGTGCTAATGGTGAACTACTGCTGCACCAGCCTTGTACAGCCTGGCCAATGGGAGAGGGGGCTCTGATTTTAAAAGCTCAGAAGCCTCTCCCCCCCTAAGCATTTCTTTAAGGCAGGGTAGCATGTCTACCCTTCCTTGGTTGAAATGGTACCTCAGGTTAAGAACTTAATTCGTTCCGGAGGTCTGTTCTTAACCTGAAGCACCACTTTAGCTAATGGGGCCTCCTGCTGCCACTGCGCCGCCACATGATTTCTGTTCTCATCCTGAAGCAAAGTTCTTAACCTGAGGTAATATTTCTGGGTTAGTGGAGTCTGTAAGCTGAAGCATATGTAACCTGAAGCGTATGTAACCCGAGGTACCACAGGTGAAACTCGAACAATTAGAATATTGTGGAAAAGTTCATTTATTTCAGTAATTCAACTTAAAAGGTGAAACTAATATATGAGATAGACGCATGACATGCAAAGCGAGATATGTAAAGCCCTTATTTGTTATAATTGTGATGATTATGGCATCAATAGCTGCTCTGTTCCAAGTAGCATCCTGCCCCTTCAACTTGCCCATAGATGTTCCTTTTGGATTTTGGGTCAGTGCAGGTAAGAAGGGAAAAGGAAGGTGTTTGTGAGCACCCTGAGGCATTAACTGGATGGTGAAGTGGGCTTCCCTAGATCAGCCTCTTAGGACTATAAGGATTAGGGGATAAGGACTGGAATCCCCTGTGGCCCATGCCTGCTTCACCCACACAAATATCAGGGGCTGCAAGGGGTGTGTGTGTGACAGAGGTAAGGCTCCTTCAATGCATTTGGGGATGTGTCAAAAAAAACTAGGAGGAGGAACAATGGCAACTGCTGACAGACTTTCAGGCAGGATGGGGCTTGCTCAGAACTGTCTCTTTCCGTGTGTGCATGTATGGGAGGTGAGCAGAAGCAGTGTTGTTTTCGGGGGGGGGGGGACAGACACAGCACTACGCATACCCCTAAACATTTTGTGAATCTAAGTTTGGCCTCACTGAGGGGCAGTATTTCAATATGAGTAGGAAAATGAGAGTGCCCCTAAACATTTTTTTAAAGAAAAAAGCACTGAGCAGAAGATTCTGTAATCTCAGTGCAGGGAGTTATACATATACAGGAGATTGGAGTTTAGCCTGCTGCAAATTTCTTGAAAGAAAGCTTGTAGTCCTGGTTCAGCAGAATTCTGTATCTCATGCTCTTATTCCTTAGTTGGGGAATTAGAACTCCTTTATACGCATTAAATTCTGCCATGCCTTCTTATGGCTACACTTGTACTACTTTATATATTCGCTGGAAATGTGATGCTTTAGGGCATGCGCATCGTCTCTGTACAGTTAGTGAACCCTTGGGACAATTTACTTACTTACTTAATGCCTTTCATATAAATTTCAAGGTGATTTACAACAGTACTCTAAACTAGAACCCTGTGTCCCTCCAGCTCTTGTTGGATTCCAACTTCCATCAGCCCAACCAGCATGGCCAACAGTCCAGGATGATGGAAGTTGGAGTCTAGCAACATTTAGAGGGCCACAGGTTCCCCACACCTGAGTTAGAACAGCTAAAAATGAGTGTAAAGCTATAACAATAAACACCCAGGGCACAGACTTCAATTTTCCTCATCCAGCTGGAAAAACCTATCAAAACGGTACAGGCAGTGACCATTTTGTGCATGTCCAGTTGATGCTGACAAATGGGTCCTTTTTGATCCAGAAGAGGGCAGAATGGGGTGGGGCAAGTTTATGCACAACGCACGCGTGGGAGGCAGGAAAGGAACCCCTGTGCAAAATGGTCACTGCCTGTATCTTCATTTCCCCCTGTAAACTACAAATAGCAGGCACCTGATGTATCTCAACAAGATGCTATTCCCCAAGACAGGGGCAGTCTCACTGAAAGCCCTGCTTCCGATATTTCAGGAACTTCAAGGAAAAGCTCTGCAGCAGAACACAGTGACCCACGGAATATGCAAGGTATAAGGTGGTCTCTGGTAGGCTTAAGTAATATTACTGCAGGGTATTCTTAAGTGAGTGTGGGTGTGAGAAACAGATACCACTGCAGTATGTACTGCATCTGTGTATGTACTGTGAAGTTTCATGGATCTCCAGTTGTGAAAAGCGTATTTTCCATTTAGTCAGCTGCACAAAATTCTCCTAAGGAAGAAAACTCATTATTTAATTAGCATATGCAGGCACGATTCATAGGCTTCTCTAAAATGAATATACAAACTATCTGGTTCAGACTCAAATATCCCATATTAACATCATTCTGACCACCAGCACTTAAATAACAAAGCATTTTTAGATGTCAGCAACCACTGGCAGATATAATTAGCCAAATCAAATTCATTTGATTGTGCAAACATCATAGAATTTACAATCCAGTAATGCATGATGAGCCCTTTGGTGTCTAAAATGGCTGTGAGTCCTTTCACTCACCCTTAATAAATAATCTTTTATCTCTCTTTGCAGGCCTATCATGACTGATCAAAGTGAGATGCTGTCTGGGCTAGATTTGCCTTTGCATGGGAGAGCTTATTCCACCCACAGCCTTCAGAATAAGCCTTGTAGAATCATTCCTTTAATGGGCAGCTCTCCGGAATCAAAACCTTTCTTCACTGCATTATATTTTTTCATATATGGTATGTTTGACAAGAAGGGACGCGGGTGGCGGTGTGGGTTAAACCACAGAGCCTAGGACTTGCCGATCAGAAGGTCAGCGGTTCGAATCCCCGCGATGGAGTGAGCTCTCGTTGCTCGGTCCCTGCTCCTGCCAACCTAGCAGTTCGAAAGCACATCAAAGTGCAAGTAGATAAATAGGTACCGCTCCGGTGGGAAGGTAAACGGCGTTTCCGTGCGCTGCTCTGGTTCGCCAGAAGTGACTTAGTCATGCTGGCCACATGACCCAGAAGCTGTACGCCGGCTCCCTCGGCCAATAAAGTGAGATGAGCGCCGTAACCCCAGAGTCGGCCACTGCTGGACCTAATGGTCAGGGGTCCATTTACCTTCCCTATGTTTGACAACTAAGCATATAAAATAAGGTGGAATACTAAGCCTAGACTGAGAACTTGCTGCCTTCCAGGTCTTGGGCAAATCCACACTGTACATTTGAAGCACATTCAACACATATAACCTCTTCAAATCCCATGGAATCATCCTCTTTGCACAGGCTAACTTCAGATATGGCCACAGAATCCATTTTTAAAGTCATTGTTTGGTGGCATCCCTAGTTAGAATACTTATTTCAATGCCCCCCCCCCATGATACACTTCACAAGAAACAGACACTGCTGAAAAAGAAATTGGCATCCTTTAAACTGTTTATGTTTAAGAGAACTTTACAAAGTACTTAGTTAAATTGTGAATGTACCGTTTCCAGAACCAGAGAGTTTGGGAGTCAGCTGAGACTCCTCACAAGTCTGATTTCCCCAAAGTAAATGATTAATAATTCTTGAAAGCTGGGCTTTAAAATATATTGTCTTTGGTAGGCAGAAAATGAGCAACTGAAAGAACTGAAAATGTTGACCTATAAACTATAGATATAGAGCGGTTATGAATCTTGTATACATTTATTTCAATTTGTACTTTAGCCCCTGGGTCTAATTGCGGATTTGGCCTTCAAAACCAAATTATCTTAAAGTGATAACTTATACAACATGCTGGGAAGAAAACAGAATATGGCAAAGATAAACAATGAGGACTCAAAGACTAATGTTATACCTTGAACCACTTCCCCCTCCCTAATTATTTAAATTGAAAAGAATTGACATTGCTTTTGCCTCTTTAATACCAATGTGTTATTGCCTGCATCCCATTGCTAATTCAGTAACCTTCATTGCAGTATTGATGCTTCCAATTACACGCAATTTATTTTGTTAACACATTAAATGAAGCGTCTGAAATAAGCACCTAAATTAGATTCAGTAGGACAGTTGTTACAATTTCATTAAATTCCAGTATACTTTGCTGCGGAGCATTTACTTTGTATTTTTAACTATTGTGTGCGAAATGGTTAGCCAAAGAAATGAAGGTGCCATTTGATTAAAAGCACTAAAAATTTAAAAGGATGTGCCTGGATTTAATTGCACCAAAGAAAATAGCTGTTAGATATTAATTAGCATATCTACTAAATGCCATTGCTCGTTTCAACTATCATTCTTTATTTGGGGAGACTTGCTTTGGGCAAGAAAAAAAGTAAAATCTGATGTAGCTGTTTAAATTGGACATCTATTGCAATGGGATGTGATTACGTCCTGAAACCTTGTGCTGACCCCACCACTTGCGGGGGACGGACAGACAGACGGATCGACAATGCTTTTTAGACTGCAAGCATTTCTCCATCAGGCACTGCCTCACACAGTGTGTTCAGTACCCACCATGGACATGACCAAAAAGTAGGAGTATGATGCCGCAACCACAAACCTAATTCTAGGTAGGTGTTCTCAACCTTGCTCCTCAGCCCCAGTCCATTCCTTGTTCATAAACCTGACCATTGCTGATGTGCTCTCCTGGTATGCCCCACGGAGGACCTTATGGTCTACAAATAACAACACCCTGAAGATTCTGGGTCCCAGGGAGATTAGACTGGCCTTGACCAGAGCCAGGGCCTTTTCGGCTGTGCCTCCGGCCTGGTGGAACGTTCTCTCACAAGAGACCAGGGCCCTGCGAGATTTGACATCCTTCCGCAGGGCCTGGAAGATGGAGCTGTTC